ATAGAAAATCAGCTCTACTTGAAGAAGCAATTCTCTTCTTTCCAGTACAAAAGAGGTACTTCAACGATAGACCATCTAAATGGCTATAAATAGGACCCATTTCCCAAGGTCCAAAGAGATGAATATTGGGGATTTGAGGGAGATACTGCCCATTTTGGCACATCCATTGTCTTCTTCTTGAGCTACTTATTTCACCCTCACCCAGTTGCACACTCTCCAACTGCCCAGACAGTTATTGCGCCTCAACACCAAATTTCTCTCAACACCAAAAAATAGCAATACTTTGTCATCAAAGAAATTTCTGCAAAGGAATTATGGAAGTAACTGGAAGAGAAATACTTGACGAAGAGTATAGAAAATCAGCTCTACTTGAAGAAGCAATTCTTTTGTTTCCAGTACAAAAGAGGTACTTCAATGATAGACCATCTAAATGGTTTCAATAAAATTCTTGCTAATTTATTGAATCTAGATGTTGAAATTAAAGATGAAGATAAAGCATTATTGTTGTTAAATTCCTTGTCTGACACGTATGATCACCTGACAACCACATTACTATATGGAAAGGAGAAAATTAGTTTGTGGAGGCTTCAAATGCCTTAGTTAATAATGAGTACATGAAGAAGGATAAAGAGACCTACAGTGACACTTCTAGTAAAGCTTTGACAGTGAGGTAGACCCTGTTCAAAGTTGGCAAGAGCTTTAACTGATAGATTTGATCCTGCGAAGGATCAGTGTGGCTATTGGCACAAGAAGGGGCATTGAAAGAAGGATTGTCCAGCTTTGAAGAAGAATAGAAAAAGATGATTCTAATTCCAATGTAGCAGATGATGATTCTGATGATTCTGAATTTTAGGTGGCCTTTGGTTACTTGTTTGATCGTGGAAGATTCACATTTGTTGATATGGATAAGATCTTGTGGAAATCTACTTCAGATCTTGGTGGAGCTTTGGCATCATTTTGCAGCTTCTTGGAGGCATTGTCTTTTGGCGATCTTCCCTAGATCCTTGGTGACTTCTTTGAAGTCTTGTTTTTGACTTATGATTATTTCTTTCTCTTGTGGATTTGCGTCATTTGAATTGTTCTTCTGCTCCATATTCGAAGACACCAATAATGGTTGTTGAGGATTTGAGAGAAGATTGTTGAGGAGAAACTTGAAGATGTGATTCTGAATCTCATCATTGCAGAAGGACATCTTTGGAAACTTTGTTTATAGCCTTCTTGTTGTATTTGGATCGATCTCTCAATCTACTGTTAGATTTGAAGGAGACAGATCATTTGCAAACTCAATGGAGTCAATTTGAAATTTAAAGTTTGAATTTGGTATCGCTTTCGGATTTGCTTAGAAGGAGAATTTGAAGCCTCCTATTGTTTTGGATTAGTCTCCTCAGCATCAGATCAAGAGGTTTGTACATCATGGTTTGTTTGAAATTGTTGAAGTTGACTTGTTTGGCGTTTGGAACTTGGCACCATGATGGTGTTTTGAATTTGGATCCTTATTGCAGAATAATTTGAAGAATTGGTTCGATTCATTCTGCAATTTCTCTTAGATAGGCTCGATGCATCTTAGGCATTCACTTGGTTCATTTGGCTTTTGTTTTGTGCTCACTCTGAAACACTTGTTTAGATTGGTATCTCGCCAATGTGGAGTTTTGTCCCCAAATTTTGGTGTGTAAATAGGGGTGCAAATAGTGTACAAGAGCAGAGCGAGCAAGAGCATCTGAGAGCAAAGCAAAGTGTGAGTGAGTGTGAGTTGGGTTTGAGAGTCTCTTCCTCCACCATTGTTGTATTTGTTTGTTCTCTTGAAATTAGTGAAATTCGCTCCTATGGATGTAGGCAATTTGTTGAACCACGTAAAACTTGTGTGGTTCTTGTTTGGTTACTTGTTTTGTATTTGTTTTTGAGTCCTGGGCACAACATTAACCATGTATAGCATAGGGATTATGCTAGTATATATAATATAATTCAATTGTCAATTAGTGTGTTTTTCTAACCTACTATTTGTATAAATTCTCTTAGAATTTTTTATTCAAAGAATAAATCTTGATGTTTGAAAATCCATATGTTTCAAGAAATCTTGAAATTAGTGAAATTCGCTCCTGTGGATATAGGCGATTTGTTGAACCACGTAAAACTTGTGTGGTTCTTGTTTGGTTACTTGTTTTGTATTTGTTTTTGAGTCCTGGGCACAACATTAACCGTGTATAGCATAGGGATTATGCTAGTATATATAATATAATTCAATTGTCAATTAGTGTGTTTTTCTAACCTACTATTTGTATAAATTCTCTTAGAATTTTTTATTCAAAGAATAAATCTTGATGTTTGAAAATCCATATGTTTCAAGAAAGATCTTTAAGATTAATATTTTTTAAGATTATCACCGTTTAACAATTTTAACATTTTAAAATTAAAAGAGAGAGAAAAGAAGAAATTGGTAGTTTGAGAGGTGATTGAAACTATAAAAAGAAACAGTAATGCTTGGTGACCCGAAAATTCATGGTTTGAATGTGTCAAAACGACATCGTTTTGATACATTCGAGCCATTCGGACCACCTAAATTCGGGCCATCAAACATTTTTAAAAAAGAAAAATTGTTGACTTGACTAAAAACAAATATAGCAATTAAAAATTTTGATAGCAAAGTCAGAGGAATCAATGCTCCAGTTTAAAAAAAATTACATTGCGTTGATCAGAAGGCCTTTCAATTAATTATGTTACATACATATTATATGGAGTGATTGAAACTATATAAAAGGAAAAATTGTTGACTCGACTAAAAATAAATATAGCTATTAAAAATTTTGATAGCAAAGTCAGAGGAATCAATGCTCCAGTTTCAATTAATTATGTCACATACATTTTATATGGATTGAGCCTTTCAACTAATTATGTCACATACATATTATATGAATTGAACCTTATATTGGGATTGGGATTGGTGTTGTGCCTTGTGGCATAACACTCATGTTGTGAGGTTCCGTTGAAAGTATTATGTCACATACATATTATATGAATTGAACCTTATATTGGGATTGGGATTGGTGTTGTGCCTTGTGGCACAACACTCATGTTGTGAGGTTCCGTTGAAAGTATGTCCTGAGTATTTTATTTATTTATTTGGAATTTGAACTGTTTATATTATATGATTTATTAAGCAGGTTATTTATAAAAAATTTCTGGGTAACTGGATATATGTAGCACTATGATCAACCTTAACTATGTTTAAAAAATTATCAAAATTATACCAACCGTTTGTTTTTGTTTAAAACAAATGTAGTTTTGTTATGAGGTTACAGATGTCCAATTAATCTTTTTATTTATTTATTATTTTTATGTATGATTTACTTGACGAACCTTATAATATAAACAGTTCGGATCATAAAAATAGATTTAAGACATGCCTCAACGAGCTTCACAACAACCATACTATGGCAGTAGGCACAACACCTATTCCAAATCCACCTTACATCAGTGAAAGAAAAATGGGGTCTTCTTCAAGTTAGGTGCCATTATTTGGAGCGCAAGGCAATGTCTTTGCATTTGCGCCAGCCCTAGTCATGTTCGTAGTAGTGGTGGTGGTGGTGGTGGTGGTGGTGGTGGTGGGATGACAGTCCTAATAGCAGTGGTAAGGTGGTGGTTGGGTGATATTGAAAGTCATGGTTACAGTGATGATGGTGGTAGTGTTGGTAGTGGACAACCATACTATGGCAGCAGGCACAACACCTATTCCAAATCCACCTTACGTCAGTGAAAGAAAAATGGGGTCTTCTTCAAGTTAGGTGCCATTATTTGGAGCGCAAGACAATGTCTTTGCATTTGCGCCGGCCCTAGTCATGTTCGTAGTAGTGGTGGTGGTGGTGGTGGTGGTGGTGGTGGGATGACAGTCCTAATAGCAGTGGTAAGGTGGTGGTTGGGTGATATTGAAAGTCATGGTTACAGTGATGATGGTGGTAGTGTTGGTAGTGGTGGGGGTGGGGTTGAGGTGGTAAAGTGGTAGAGATGGTGGTCTTGGTTTTAGTGTGGAGATGGTAATGTAGTGGTATTGATAAGATTTTATTTTAGAAAATATTTTTTCACTTTTCAAAGTAGAAAATATTTCAGTCCAAGTAAGTTATGGTTTTCGTTGATTCTCATTTCTTATTGTATCAATCACTAGAAAATATTTTTTGCTCAAATAAATTAGCCTAAAGGTAATAAAGATTTGGGAACCTTTGATTCTCTCCATTACATATTTAATGACCATAAATTTAGAAAGCGAATTTATCATTATTCCAAATTAAAGAAAAGTCATTTTCATAACCGTTGAACACGGCCTGGGTATAGGCCCACCAGGCTATGGCTTAGGCCCCCCAAATAGACCTAAAACAGGTCCCTCTCCCATTACAGTTTAGTGTAATATATTAGGTATGTTTTAAGTCAAAAAAATAAAAATAAATGAAGGCCTAAACTAACTTAAAATAAATTGACCCATTAAAAAATTAAAATGTCCATTCTCTCTCCCTATCTAATTCCTAACCCCAACTCTTAATTCAATTTTCCCAAAAATTTGAGAGAAGCAGCACAACAGAGCACTAACGAATTTCTCAATAATTCAGTACAAGTATAATTGATTTATTTGCTTCTAAAAATGCAAGAAGAGCGATAATCAAGTGATACTTATTAGTTATTGTAATGTAATGCTAAGTATTTTTTATGATTTTGACAAAAATCATTTGTCATTTACCTTCAAAAAAAATTTCGTTGAATGAAAAAAAAATATGTGAAGGGCCCCAAATGATCTAATGGTATTTATTAGTTGATTATCAGTTTTGGACCCTGAAAATCTCAAGGCCAGGCCTGCCGTTGAATTATGTGATGGAGAACTTTCATTGTAATGAAGAGGATAATAATCCAACCTGATTTTGTCCAATAACAATTACCATTACTACCTCCCACCAGAAAAATAAATGAATAAAAATTAAAGAAAAGAAAGAGAGAGAGAGATGGGTGAAGAAACTAACAAGTATAGATGAAGCACTTCCATATGTTGAAGCATGTACCGCTTGGGAAAGCAGAATGCTCTTGAGCCATCACTTCTAGAGGAGAAAAATCTTTCCACGCCAGCTTAGGGTTGCGGCTGAGAAGATCCAAAGCCAGGTCTAATAACACATCAATTATACAGATCCGATATTAATCAATAATAATATTACTTGTACAAAAACAAAATACATAATTATGAACATAAAATCTACATATGACTTCGATTCATTCTAAATGTAGTAGAGACATACTCACAAATTGTGTTTCAGAACAAATAACATAATACATTAATCAAAATATTGATTTCATGTTCTTAATTTCTTGATCAAATGACTATTTCATGGAGATCACAGACAATAATCACAAAGTCATGCTCAGCTCATGTGAGTTGCAATTTAATTCAACAACCCTTTTGTTTAGGAGAAAATATACTAAAAAAAGACATTTTTAGGATGTGTTCCGCCAAGTCAAACGGAGGGTAAGTACTGCCAATACTCACCATAGAATCCAACATTTATAGCAAAACGCATGAGCGTTGCACCTGCTTCGCCTTCATAAGGTTTCGATTCCTCGTCATCTCTGGTGACAGACAGCAAGAACAGAGTCATCTTCCTCTGACCATGCATGGCAGCCAAGTGGAGAGGCAGAAAGCCATCATTGTTCCAGATATTAGGCAAGTCTGGGTTTTTCTCCACAATCAACTTGGCTTCAATAATATTGCCAAGCACTGCAACTGCATGAAGTGCTGTATTGCCAAAGTAGTCAGTCAAAGCCAGTGCCTCCGGCTGCATCAACTCCACTAGTTTCCTGACAAACAGGATCCCCTGCCTTGCACAGCAAGAATAGAGTCATCTTCCTCTGACCATGCATGGCAGCCAAGTGGAGAGGCAGAGAGCAATCATTGTTCCAGATATTAGGCAAGTCTGGGTTTTTCTCCACAATCAACTTGGCTTCAATAATATTGCCAAGCACTGCAACTGCATGAAGTGCTGTATTGCCAAAGTAGTCAGTCAAAGCCAGTGCCTCCGGCTGCATCAACTCCACTAGTTTCCTGACAAACAGGATCCCCTGCCTTACCTTAACTGCCACGAGAAGAGGCGTCTCCGAGAGGGCGGTGAGACGGGCTGTGATCGCGTTGGGGTCATTTTCAAAAATTTTACTGGCATTCTCCCAGTTGCCTTGGAGTATGGCTATGTGGAGTGGCAGGTAACAACTTATGTCTCTCTTTGCTGCTGCTGAAAATTAACAAGAACAAAATAACAGTGATTATTTTCTTTCTTTCTTTTTTTTGGGGAACTTTTGATTTCGGGGTCATGAGTGTTGTGATCTTACCGGGGATGTCATGATCAAAGTTAGGGATGTTAATGCTATTCATCCATGATTGTGTTGTTGAAGGTAAAGCCATCCTTGATGGAACAAAGACAGACCACATGCTATCTGTTTTGAGCAAATCAAAATCCAGTTTTCATCAGGTTTAGCATAACACTTAAGGCCCGCCTTGGCTGACTTTTCTTCCCTGTGGCATCTTTGAGTTGTTCAATTCATTAGATGTTAATTAATTTAATCATCCCATATTCACTCTTCTTAACAAAAAACAAAATGATTGACTTTTAAGTTCTTGACTCATTCTCTCTCTCTCTCTCTCTCTCTTTCTAAGAAACCCACATATAGTTTTCAAAACTAAAACTGCATCAAGATTGCAGCAATGATTAGGCAAGGAATTTTTCATTCACGTTATGCCACTCTTTTACATATTTAATTATCATTTTGGTTTTAAAATTGCTATTGGATGACAACATTTTCGTGAATTTCATTTGTTGTTGTTGGTAGTCTAGGTCCTTGTCTCTATACTTGGAAAAGAAGTAAGAAATATGTATATTTATGGGTGATTCTATTTATACCCAAATAATAAGTTAGTACGCTTAATTAAAGTTTTAAAAATTTAGTTCTTATTATACTCTAATGTAAATTTACTAATAAGGACAATTCACATTGGACTCTAAAATAAATTTTTTTTTTTTCATGATACACCTATAGGTGTTCTTCATATTCAACTTTCTTTATCTTTTTCCCAAAATTTCAATTATCTTCTCTTTATCTTTTTCCTCACTCCAAAACTCAAATTCACCCTACCAAAACTCTATCTAAGATCAGTTTAAAGGTTTTCCTTAACTTGTGCAGAGAAAATTTGAGACCAATCAAAATATCTTTTAGAAGCCAAAGACAGTTTGAGGAATGCCGCAACAACTACCGCAACAACAACTTTGTGATCAAAACTTGAGACTCTCTTGCCAAAAAACAAGCACTTGAGACTAAGTACTGTTAGCTATTTACCATGATCAAGTCTCTTTCGATTATATTTTCACCCATGTGCCTCTGTTTCACTTCTTTATTTCTGCATATTCCTAGCAAGTCCCTCTTTTCTCTATTGCATTTTTTTTTCACCAAGCTCAAGAAATCCCCAGTACAAGAATAAGTTGAAACACCAATGGTACAAGTCATAACATAAATGAAAATACAATAAATTATCTCCCCGGATAACTGAAAATGACCAATTAAAACAAGCATAAAAAGGGTTTTTGAAAGAGTTTTTCAAAGTGGTGTATTTTAGGGTTTGATTTATTTATTATTTGGGTATATGTTGGAGGTGGTAATTGATGTGGTGGCGGCAATGGTGACGACAATGTAATTATGGTAATGGTCATGGCTATGACAAAGGTAGTGAAAAATCTAGATATCCCCCAGATATTGATTTGTGATTATGTATCAATTTTAAGCAGTAAATAACAATCTCAATCAAACAATCAAAACAAACTGACATAACAATTTAACGTGAAAAAATCACAATTGGAGCGCCTCCAATTGTGATAAAAAAAATCACGGCAAAAGTCACAAAACAATCCACTAAGAAGACAAAAGAAATTACACAAGTGTATTCTCAATTACCTAGCGAGTCCACGCCTGAATTGAACTGACCCCTATATGCCTCTTCCATCACGATCCTTACCTGGGAATCGTCTTACCCAACGTTGAATCCACAACGCTGATGTCGAATCCACGATGATGAGCCACTCTACAATCCACCAAAGCTTCAGGTCCAAATTCTACAGAATCCATCGAAGAACAACTCTTTTTTTTTTAATAAACCAAACTAAACAAACCCTTTAATATAATTCACTCAATTCATGATTAAACTCTCATAGATATCAAAAGAAACAAGCAAAGAAGCCCTAGATGAAAACCCTAATACCCAAGAAGAAGATCTGAAGCCATATCCTAAAATCATATTGAAACACATATTTATAGAAAACAGATCCGTGATCTCTGCTCGAGAGCAAGAATGGCCGCTCGAGCATATCTATCCTCAAGCGCATCTACGCTCGAGTGCAAGAAAGGCTGCTAGAGCGGAAAAAAACAACTCCCAGGTAGCGATGGTGGCAAACATGATAGGATTAAGATCACAAACTCCTCTGCTTAGGCACAATTCAGGTTGGATTCGTTTCTAAAGCTCATAACCTCACTGAAATAAAAGATCGAATACAATTACAACTGAAAGGAGTTTTGTCAAATGGGATTGCCAAGAATAAAAACCTAACAGGTAGTGTCACGCCCTCAAAATAATAACATTAAACCCATCGATATAAACATACATTTACATACAAAAGATCCACATTCCCTCAATTAAACAGAGTACTTCATTACAAAAGTATTACATGTTAACAACAAAAGTAAATGCCCTACGGGCTTACAGCTTTCCAAGTTATCACTTGGTTACAAAAGAGAGTATTAACTCGGTTACACATTAAGCCCTTGGCTTGAATTTACATGTAATACATCAAAAGGAAAATAAGGCAACAAAAGTATGTCTTGCCCCTAGCCTCCCAAGCTATGTCCTTAGAGGCGGCATGCTACCTGTACCTGAAAATGATGTTCCCATATAGGGTGAGCCACAGCCCAGCAGAGATATACTAAACCAACTATGAACAATGATTAAAAGATTAGCAACTGATAGGTGGTGGAGAGGTGGTCGCAGTGACAAATGGCGATCGGTTTGGTGTTGTGGTAGTGGTCGTGAAATGATGGTGGTATTTGTAACAATAGTGGTAATGATGATGGTGATGATAGTAATGGAGGTAGTGGTCGTGAAATGATGGTGGTATTTGTGACAATAGTGGTAATGATGATAGTAGTGATGATAATGGTGATGATAGTAGTGATGATGATGGTGATGATAGTAATGATAGTCGTTGGGTGTGATGGTGATGGAGGCGATGCTACATACGATAGTGAGATCATAACAAGCTTATACATATAAATAAGTTCAATAAGTTTCTTGTTACTTCAATTTTTTTTTAAACTATATTTTAAGAGCTTCTTTTACCAAACACATAACTAATTTCAATATATATTCAATTTTAAGTACTAAACTTAATTATCAAATACTAATTGTGTCGATATCACAAATAATATTAAGTAATCAACGATATTACATGTCTGAAAAATTATTCCCAAAACTCCTATAAAAGTAATTACCAAATCCACTATTCAAGTTATGAGGCTACAACTAAATCCCAAGAGATAGTAGAACAATGAAACAATTTCACTACCCCTCTATATGGTTGTATCCCATGCCCTACTAATGCATGCTTCATTATTGCCATATCTATTCACCATAGGAAAATTGATTTTTAGCGGCGTTTTTGAGCCTGAAAAACGCTGTCATACGTTATAGCGACATTTAATATTTTCTTCGGTAATACGGCTGCTGTAATAGCTTTATAATGTTTTGATTGTTGCTAAAAACATTAGGCAGCATTTTAAAAAATGGCACAAAAACTTTGACGCTCACTAACATTTCCTTCACAAAATAACGTATGACATCATGATGACGTCATTTAGTAGCGTTTTTTTGAAAAACGCCATTTTTTTTTCCTGATTCTGAAATATAGCATAACACAGCCAAAGAATTTAACTAAAATATAGCATAACATAGTGCCAAAGAATTTAACTAAGAAGAAAGCTTGAGAATTTAACTACCTGTATACAAGAGCAATAGTATGTACAATCTATGATTTGGCAAAAACAATCACTAAAAATTCAATCTCAAACCACACTCTTAAAGCTGCTCTCACCAAAAATTAAAAGAACAAAGAAAACAAAGAAAATAACATGGTATGAGGCTCTTGGAATAGTTCTTTAGCTCTTCCTCCAGTATGCTCATACCACAATGACATCCTATTACAATTTCAGTGTCTCGTTGCCCATCCATGGATTGCTGTTCACTTTTGCAGATCTTGTCAACATGTATGTGATAAACATATATGATAAGCATAATCAGAGTGCCTATATGATAAACATATCCAGGTCCACCAATGCTGCATCTTATAATCTATTATCAATTAGAATAAACCTTTAGATCATCTATTTTCATATGTTGCCCAATATATGACATCAACTCAGGTGTTTCAGTATTCTGATACCCTGAATTTCCTCTAGACCATATACTATGATTTCAGGGACTGCTCTAAATTAGGCACTTCTGAAATGCATTGCCAATTAAATTCCATCGGTCTGGAATGCAAAATGAAGAAAGGTAATTCTATATGGAAAATATGATAGGGATATTTACATATTGGATTTTCTGGTGCTTTCGAAGATGAATGGTTTTTCTGTCGAACAAAAATTTGTAACAAAATTAACACTTCTTAGAAACCACCACAGTAGAGATGATGAATTACAATAATATTCCACCTCAACAACTTTAATTTTAAGAATAAAACTTACAACAAAAAAGAGGCATTCTTTCATTGAGTTTGTCTTATCTACTTCTTCCTCCTCTTAAATTTCTTTGATATTTGAACCTGCATTTGAAAAGAACAAGTAACATGAATAAAACATAATTCCAAATTAGATGGAATTATGTTTATAATTCCATATAAACATCGAAGCATGCAACTAATCTGTAATAACATCTGACCTTAAACCATGGAAGCATGCAATTGAGGCATTAGTCAATAACAAGACTACTAATTTATGGAACCTATAGCTTGTGCACTATTTTTTACAAGACTCCATGACTAGTACTAATGCTACTTTTAAACCATAATTCTAGTGTAACATATTAGTATCAATATTTGTAAATAAATAGCCAAGTAGACAGATAATCAAACTTACAACAAAAAATAGGCCCTTTTTTTTATTGAATTTGTCCTATCTACTTCTTCTTTTTCTTCTTTCCTTTCTTCGATATTTGAACCTGCATTGGATAAGAACAAATAATATGAATAAAATGTCATTGAAAATTTCATGAAAGCACAACACTGTTGCAACCGCAGCCGAAGCACCAGTAGAAAACACAGCTACAACACCAGCAGAAAACAAAGACACTAAAGCCTAAACAACTCA